AAAAAAAAAAAAAAAAAGAGAGAGAGAGAGAGTTTGAGTGGCAAAAATGGAACATGTGTCAAATTGCGGCCGCGACGAGAACTAACGGACTGCTCCTAGAGCTTGATCTAGGTATAGATCAAGATTTCAAGCCTGGAAAACGTGTCAACAGCTAATTGACATGTCCGTGAGTGTTGTATGTGGTGTGTGTTGAGTTGGACACTACAGCCTTGCAGGGGTGGGGTGGATATCACGACTGGTACGATTCCACTTTCGAACACCGTGTCCTCGCTATAGTGGTTAAGAGACTTGGCTCTTGAGGCCGAGGTCGCTGGTTCGAATTTGTGCTTGCACGGAGGAGGGCTTAGGCCCAGACGTACGAAATCCATACTACTGTGGAAGCGCCCGTGAACCTCGGACATTGATAAGTCTCGTCCGAGTGAACGGTTAAGAGTACCAGCGGGGGTTACGTACCGACTACAGAGCAAAGTGTACGAGAATTGTCGTGTCAGTGGGTGTGGTGTGTGGTGTGTGTTAAGTTGGACATTACAGCCTTGCAGGAGTGGGTCGGATATCACGACCGGTACTATTCCACTTTTGAACACCGTGTCCTGGATATCGTGATTAAGAGACTTGGCTCTTGAGGCCGAGGTCGCCGGTTCGAATCTGTGCTAGCACGAAGGGGGCTTGGGCCCAGACGTACGGAGTCCATACTACTTGTCATGTCAAAAACAAAATAAAAGAAAAGAAAAATGAGATAAAAATGAGAGAGGGTGAGACAAAAAAGGAAGAGAAGGAGGGCGTGAGTTGACCATTAGTAGGGACTGACACCGTAGGGACTGATATGTCCCTACTGTTGAGATTTAGTAAAAAATAAAGAAAAAGAAAAAGAAAGAAAAAGAAAAGGAACCACCAACGATAAAATACGGTCGTCTATGAGGAAAGCAAACAGATGTTCTAAGCTAGGTTCTTTTTCCGGGCGCCCAGGCACCCAACTTGTGGCCGGATACAAGCCCAGGTGCCCGGCCGGGCATGACCCCCGGACAGGGTTCCGAGCAGTCCCAGTGCAAAAAAAAAAAAAAAAAAAAAAAAAATCCAGAAAAATAATATGTTGTGTAGAATTGCAATACAAATAACTTTTGGCTGAGGGTCACATCATAATTCCTCACTAAATTGAAGATAAAAAAGAAAATAACAAAATCACACTAAAGGAATCCCCTTTAACCTTTTTTAACCCTTTTAAAAACAATTTATACCCCTTTCCCCCCCCCTTGACAGCCAACTCTCAAAAAATGAAATGAGCCCGGATTTGGGGTCCTCTGGGAAAGCACAGAAAAATAATTTTGTTTATTTTTTATTTTTTTATTTTATTGTATTTTTTACACGCCAAGGTACCCCGGGCATCGCACCCGGGTGCCCGACCGTGCATGAAAAACCTTATAGGTTTTAAGTACATTTTGTGACCAAATTCATCTTAAACCACCAGTACCTCTGATCCTGTGTTTTGCCGACCCTGATTTATAGTGCGCGCCGATTTTTGCCGAGCCTGTGTCTCGCGGTACCTCCGAACATGTTTTCGTTTTTATTTTGTTTTTGAATACGGTAACGTTTCCACTTGTGGCCTAGTCGTCCTCCGGTACGGCCCAGCGAACGGACACATGTATGGGCGGGTCCCTATGTTGTAGGGCATGTTTTGTGGCCGTTCTTTGTTTTTGTTTTTTTCGAATTTGTGTACAATTTTTTTTTGCGGGCCCAACTGGCGTGTTGCTTCGCCGGCGACCGGTAGCGTGGAGTGCAGGGCGGTGGGCGTCCGCACGTTGGCCGATGGATGGACGCCGACGTTTACCATCGCCGCCGTCACATCCCGACCTCTGTGTGTGTGTGTGTGTGTGTGTGTGTGTGTGTGTGTGTGTGTGTGTGTGTGTGTGTGTGTTTGTGTGAGTGTCATATCCATGGCCTGCATTGACCCAATCGACGTAGCGGATGACATCATGTCTTCCCGCCGATTGGCTGTGCAAAGTGCATGGCAGAAATCTCTCTCTCTCTCTCTCTAAATATATATATATATATATATATATGCCCATTCGTAGTTTCGTCGTCGTGTATATAAGCTAGTTGTCGTTGTCATGGATGTCAACTTCAACTTCGAAACGACAACTGCGACGTTGAATGTTGACATCCATCGCAGTGACTATCGGTTAGTCTCTCCCTCTCTCTCCCTCTCTCTCTCTCTCTCTCTCTCTCTCTCTCTCTCTCTCTCTCTCTCTCTCTCTCTCTCTCTCTCTGTGTGTGTGTGTGTGTATAAATGAGACGATGACCGTCCATATGCAGAGTGTGTGGCTGTTTGTTGTTTTCTTCCCTTTTTTGTACTCACCCCCTCCGGCTTCCCACTTATGCGAACGTGGCCGTTCGAGGAAACGACACCTGTCACTGTCAGTTTTTTTTTTATATCTTTTTCGTTTAATTTTCCGATTTCGTTTTCCCATTCGTTCTTTTGCTTACCTCCATTGCCAATTCCACCTCTCCCCCCCCC